TACACAAGATATGGTCCTGAGATTTGAAAAGAATGAAGGACAGAGCAGCGTTTTCTGCAGGCGGAAGCATTTGACGGTTGATCAAGCCCAGAAGAGAGGACGCAGTCAAGAGCACCAGTTCCGGGTTGATCTTCCACAATGGGAACTGTGTGCACTCCCATTCAGGGGGGCAAACCTCCATAGCCTTAAGGTCCATGGAAGCGGAGGTGCTGGCCGCAACAGGCCTACTTGCTGAGGGCGTGGCTTTGAAGCAAGCCTTGCAGTTCTCGCTTGGATGCAAGGAGGAGCCAAGTGAGAACACAGTTGTCGAGATGAAGATGTACTTGGACTCCACCTCAGCACAAGCGTTCTTCCAGGCCCTGGCCGGGCCAAACACTTGTGCGCCCGCAGTTTGTGGGGCCAAGAAGCCATGAGAAGAGGATGGTACAAAATTGGTCGCATCAAGAGAACCCGGCCGACCTGAACACTAAGGCATTGAGCAAGGAGAGAAGAGAATACCTTGCGCAGCTCATTGGCTTGCACAGTGGGAGTTTCCAGCCTTTGAGCACACCAAGTGTGCAGCGCATTGTTCAGATGCTGGTGATGGCCGGTTGGTTGAAAGGACGCGCGCCAGAAGCCGACAGTTGTGAAGGGATGAGAACGACAGTGAGGCATAGCATGTGGTGCATTTTGCTTTTGACCTTCACAGTACTCTTTCTTCTGTTTGCGATGTCCGTGATGGTTTTCAACGCCCAGAAGATTCGAACTTCCCTTTCACGATACAGAATTGCGTGGCGAGAGATGAGGGCAGAGTTGAACCTCAGAAGAGATGAGGACCCAATGAGGTTGGTTGGAGAAACAGGTGCAGATGGAGATGGAGAAGGAGAAGAAGAAAATGATGACGAGGCAGATGGTGATGAACCTTGCAATGATGGTGACGATGATGAGACTGGACCAGGAGGAGGAGAGATGCCTGGTACACAGATGTGCCATTGGCAAGTGCATCATCGACGGCAACCAGTGATCGACGTGATACACCGAGGCCACGGAGGAGGATTGCGCAGAAGTCAGAAGGTGACATTGCTGCAGGTCGAGGAAACAACAGTACTACAACAGAGATGGATCAAGAAGCAGAGGAGCGACCTGACCGCAGCTTGCAGAGTGAAGCCACACACACACACCATGGAGTCACCTGAAGAGGAGAGAAAGGATGAGAATGAAAGAGATGCAGAGGAAGAAGAAAGTGAACAGCCAAGTTCGTCCTTTGGAAGGTAACCAAGCGCATCGAGGCTGAGGGGCACAGAGGCTGAGAGAGAGGGAACGATGAAGACTGACGTTTTCGGGCCAAGTTTGTCAGACATGGTGGCAGACGATCTTTGGAGCTTGGGTCTGAGGCCACAACAGATGGTTGGGCAGAGGTATCCCGTTCAATCGGGAAGAGTTCCAGGAGTTCAGGCAGCGGCTGATTCAAGAGGGTCATGGACCTGAAGTTTCCTTGACGCTAGCGTGCCGCAACCTCAACGAGTACATCCGCGACTTGGAATACCAGAGGGACCCTGGACTGAGGACAGAAATCAGAGTTGAAGTACCTTCAAGAGTAGCTGATCCTTTGTGGCAAGAAAGATCCCAGGGCATTCAATGCAGCCACTATCACTTTCAACAAGTGGATTGAAAGTGGCAGGAGACGAAGGTGGAGAAGACAGAGAGGCTTCAGAAGAAGAGGCACTGTCGGAGAGTCCAATTCGACCAAGCACTCCAATAGAGGAATCCGAAGACCCAGATGCATGGATTGAAATGAACTACTACGACATGGAGAACGAAGAGAATGAAGAAACAGAGAACGAAGAAGTTGAAGTAGAGACAGAAAATGAAGAAGTGACAGTAGATGATGAAGAGCCCAGTGCAACCAACAGTGGTAGCAACAATGAAGAAGAAGAGGGACATGATGAAGACAAAGAGAACAAGACCCCAGAAGAAGCTGGCTGACAGTGCCATCAACGCACGAGGCAAAACATGAAAGTCAGCTCTGAGAGGGGCCAAGTTTTGCGAAATGGAATTCAGAATGTGAAGATAGGAAGTCTGTGAGAAGCCACAAATCCTAAGGCGGGGTGTGAGAAGTAAGCATGGCCACCCTGCAGTAAGGATGACGCGCACTTTGAACTGAGAAGTGTACCAACCCGCAGCGGCTCGAAACCAGCCGACGGAAAAGTTCGCGTTTTTCAGAAAACCACTACCACCACTACCACTACCACTACCACTATACCACGACGACGACGAGTACTACGAGTACGATGACGACTACTACGAGTACGACGACGACGACTACTACTACTACCACTACTACTACTACTACAACTACAACTACTACTACTACTACTACTACTACTACGACTACGACTACGACGACGACGACGACCACGACCACGACGACGACGCCGACGACGACGACTACTACTACTATACTACTGCTGCTGCTGCTGCTACTACTACTACTGCTAGTGTTAGTATAATACTACTACTACTACAACTACTACTACTACTACTACTACTACTACTACTACTACTAGTGTTAGTATACTACTACTACCACTACTACTACTACTATTACTACTCCTACTACTACTACTACTACCACTACTACTACTACTACTACTACTACTCCTGATGCTGCGGCTGCTGTTGCTGCGGCGGCAGTTTGAAAATTTGGCGTGTTGTGCAAGTACGCAGCGCGCGCCCAGCTCATCCATTCCGCGGCAGCCGTTTGTGAGATGGCCAGTTGCAACAGACAACAAGCGAAAAAGGAAAGAAACCCAGTGCCAAATAAAATTGCAGTTATGTTACGTTGCTGACTCATGGTTCGTGTAGTCGGCAACTGGAATTGCCGTTGTCAAACCTAGCAACCCATGGTATGACGGATCTTCGGGCGCCAGCAATGGTTTTTGGCATTGGCCCAGGTCGATACATTGGTAGAGGTTGTATTCGTTCAGTCGGATGGAACCATTTGTCTAACCAAGACTTTCGCAAACTAATGGCAGGTGACATGGTTATTCTATATTTAACTCCTTGTGTTGAAGTTGGCGCTGACGCCGACGCCGTTGTTTTGGTTCGTTGACTCTTGTACTCGCAGCGCTCGCAGGACTGCACGATGAAACATCACCAAGTTCGCAGGACATTGTGATGTTTACGAAATGGAATGTCGGAATTGTTTTTCGAAGACCCATTTGGAGTTTGGTTTCATTCATTTGCGCAGGCACCAGTAGCAACGCCTACCAGGACCTCAGTGTGCTCGAGTTTGTCAACACCTTTCAGCCAGCAACGCTCCAAGATTTAAAACGCAACAACATTCCAAGTATCGCAGCGAGCGTTCCAAAGGACCATGATACTCTGTATAGTATGGTTGTGCCAGGTGCAGCGCCAGGATTCCCAGTGCTGGCCCATCGCCTTGTGCCGAAGCCAGAGGCTCAAAATATGGCTGGTATTGAATGTGCGTTGGAACAATCCGCAAATCCAAGGATAACGGGGCAAAAAATCCTATCCGGTGTCTTGGCAAAGTATCCAGTAGCAGCATCAAAGAATAAAACAACCAGAAGTGGCAAGACCCACCAATGAGCACGAAGGCCTTCAACTGAATTGATAAACACCTTCCTCCAGGACAATTCGTTGTGCAGTTGGTGGGCTCACACCAGTGAACGCCCAGATGCAAACAGTGAGAACACAAGGAGTTGGAGCACTGGCGTGCATCCACCATGGTCCAAGAGGTTTGGAATTTGAATTTTGTGTTTTCGTTAGGGGCTTCAAGGCTAGGCACGTAAGGGTAGACCCGGCGTTGGTGCGCTCTGTAACTTGCAGGCTTTGATGCCAAACAAGTTGACGGTTGGATGCCTCGACCGCGGCTTGGAAGTTTATATACTCATATTTGTTGATTTCCGAATGGGGATGTGCATTCAATCCTTTCCAAGTTTTCCGATTGCGCATTGCAGGTGCCTTTGCTGAGTTTCAGTCTGCGTCGGGCCAGGTGCAAACTGGGAACAGTTGGGGAAGATAGATAGCCGCAACGAGAGAAAGAGGGAACTTTGTTCAGTTTTGTCAAAGTCCAAATGGTGACGCGGTTAGTTCCACCGTTCTGCTTCATGTTTGAGAACAGGCTTGAAAGAAACCAGGACCGCTGAAAATAGAGCTCAAATACATGACCTGGTTCTTCATGTTGAACTTGGCATGCCACGTGTTCCTTGAACGGCTGGCCTCAAAGCAGGGAGCGGGCTGTTTGATATCGTTGTGGTTCTTTTATTGACGCGTGTGATGGTCTTACATTCATCATGACGTTCATGTCATGTTGGTGTTCAGATTTGGCAGGCCATGCTTTGCACGTTTCTTTGTAAGCCCAAGGCATGCAGGCTAGAATCGATTGGTACTGCAACAACTGGCGTACCATATGGATGTTTCAAACCATTTGAGGAATTGTTTCACTACTTACTTGCCCTTTAAACAACCAACCTTTGTGCACAAATGGCGCAGGCGGAGAACCAACCAGGCTGGCAAACTATCCAAGTGATTCACTGCAATTGCATTGTATGCTCAAGGAGCTTGAGCTGCAAGTGGTGCCCCAGCAAGTGGGCTGTGCAAATGTGAAAGCGATGCTGCCACTCATGGGCATTGGACAAGGCTCAACAGAGCAGCCCGTCGCCTTGGGAGCGGGCCTTGAAAAGCAAATGAACTTTATCTCTCCACCGGTGCATTTTGGCACCCGCAGATGGACCTGTGCCCTGAGACACTTGCTTGGAACTGTCAAGGAAACTGGTGCAATAAATTCTCTTACATACATTTTCCGTTTCCTAGAATTTTTGCATCAGCAATGATGAAGACACATAGTGCCTATCATAGTGCATTTATCCCGAGGTTTGGTCCTTTTCTAAAAAATCCTGGGCACCGGTAGCCACAGCAATAGAGTGGTTTCTTAGAAATGCTGACATGCGACGCACGCGGGTATCCAGTAGGCCTTTACTGCATGTGTTTTTGGTGGCTTTTGGCTCGTATGTAGATTTGCCCTGCCGGTTCCACTTGCCCATGGCCATTGGCACGTATCGGGCTTGTTACGCGCCTTGTGGTATGGCAAGCGACTCATGTCTCACTGAATGCAAGGCCTGAGGCGGAAGATGTGGTGGAACTGGTCGAAGAGGCACTTTGTGTGTCTCTCGAATTGTCAAATTGCAGCCTACTTAACTTGACCCGAGAGACACATTGTTGGATTGCTTCGCATGACCATCAGTGCTATCCATCTCAGATTTGCATGGGTTTCTGAAGTCCTAGTTGTCGGTTTCAATCATTGTGTGCTTAATCAGGTGACAAGCTTTAGCTTTGAGATACCCGAGGGGGTGAAAGCAGGAGTGAAATTGAAGGCTTGACATGAGAGAACTTGCATGGTTCACATTGAATGTATTCCTTTAGAATCTTGTGGAGCAGTTTGCACAATTTGGCCGATAAGCAATGTGCAGGTGGTGGCACCGGACCAAGTCACACTTCACATTCCTTTGCCGCACAATGTTGTGACTGGTGACAGGTCTGAGCCGTAGGCATCAAACCATGATGAGCCGGCATCGAGCTGTATTGTTACAGGATGGTCATGGTAAAATCTCTCGACGGCAAGTGGGGCATCAAGCATGTCTGGCCTTCAGATAAATGGCAGGTTTACCATGAGCATATCAATGGCTAGCTTGAGGTTGTTCGTGGTGAACTAGGTGGCGCACCTATGTTTGGCACATAGTTTTCATCTTCACTCGCTGTATTCATTGCATTGAACCGGGATGTTTATTTTGCACTCAGGTTCAGTACTCCTTGGAAGACTGAAGAAGAAATAGCACCTATGCCAAGTTTTTCTGAAAAGATGTTGACATTTATTATTACCTGGCCATGTTGTTGCGTTGATTGTAACCGTAGCTCGTTTTCTGCATGTCCACATCCAAACCCATGATTGTTATGACTAGATAAGGCCTTCGATGCTTCAAAAAGCTGCTAAGGATGCTAACAGATAAAACCAACATGCCATGCAAGAAGAACCGCTCACTGCCGGTAGAATAATGAATTCATGAGTCATGAGCGGAACATGAAGGAGGGCGTTTCAGAGGCTGTATAAGGCTTTTTGATTATGTAATAACTTACTGAAACAAGTCTCAGCTGTTCTGTGTGGAAAGACTTGATATCCAATGACAGGCCAAAGACCTCAGCCAACCACACGTCATCCCGACAATTATAAGCTTTGCAAGTTTTGATCGGTTTGGTCGTGAAGGTAGCTTGTTTGTGGCAGGTGTGCAGCGTGGAGCTAGCAACCACCAAGGGCACAATCAAGCTCAGGCACTTTCGGCGACAAGCCTTTGCATACAGCTTTGCTTTACTATGTCTTTTTTAATCGTATCTCATCCTGCAGGGTTGTTCCGAGTTGGGCGCCAAAGGGTGCACAACGCTTCCTACAGCTTGTGAGTGACAAGTGCTCCCAAGCTAAGCCTGCTTGGCAGCTAGGTCAGGAGTTTTCATCGCTGTGGTGTTGTGGGCCAGGTACTATACGGACCTTCCCATTTATCGAGCAGTCTGATCCCCAATCCAAGTGACTTTACTAGTACTGACTGTACATTCGGCCAGGGCAAAATTTCCTCCAGGTGCCAGATTTCTTGATACAGTTCGGTGTCACTACTGACGATCGATATGGGAGATATGAGGCACAATGTTCAACGCTTGCTTGATGATTGGTAGGCATTCTTGTGCCCCAAGTTTAACTATGAGACGAAGCCAACAGGCCATGGAAGATGATGAACTCAAGGGAATTCCCTTCTTAGCGAGTGGCTGAGACAAGATCAGCCTTGACTCATTTCTGGCCATGCATCGCACAAATTAAGGAAGGTATGGTGTGCTTCGCAGCGTCCAGCCAGTGAAACCGTCCGATTGGAGCTACAACGTGCATGTTGCAAAGCCTATCTCGTGAAGTCAAGCACTCGCAGCATCCAAGATTCGGGTTTCCATTGTGGTCCGATGCCAGGAATAGCCGACTAGCAGCGATTTGTGTCTTCTTGACCGACCTACCGCAGCTGGGGAAGTGCAGCCAGCAAACTTTGAGAAGCATAATGTTTCGCCGCCGCGTGCAATGTTTTGGTTGCCAGAAGTTGCCAGCACTTTTGGCAGGAGGAGCTGGGAGACACCATTCGCTCGAGTTTCAGAAGAATCTTTCCCTGTGTGGGTTCCTCAAGTCATGGACTGATAGTGCAGTGTGCTGATGGCTGACCAGTGCTGCCTCACAGGCTGCGGAGCATTTACACCGGCTATGGTGAGATGCCACAATGTGGCGGGAGTGGTCCTGACCCAATTCAATTGCAGGAGAGAACGACCGAAGGATCTGAAGGTGAAGAGGATTTGGAAAAGGTGATCATGTTCGTTCACAAGGCTTTTCAAGCTCACTTGCGAGTCGTCTAGCCTGCTTTCTCATCACCATGTTGCGAGAAAGGATGATGTGTCCATTATATAGTCCTTCTGAAATGCGTCCGTGTGGATTCAGGAGGTTCTTTCTTTATACTTTGCCCCTGATAAGTTGGTAGAAATTTCCTGGCTGGAGGATAGAGGGAATCCTTACATCAAGGAGAAATTCCCGCAATGTGACTACGCACGGTGCTCAGATGTGCCTGGTGCTTAAAAAAGTGGCTTTGGCAGGACATTCTGATTCTTAGGTCGAGTCTGCTGAATGGGTGCAGTGAGGAGCCGGCCTTTAGCCTCTAGGTTGCGCAAGCAAGTTAGTCTTAGCCAAGCACCTCTTGCAGTGTACTGTTATGGTGCAACATTGTAAAAAGTACAATCCCTGGTCCCGATCCCTGTAGCATGCCCTCCAGCTTGGGTGCACTCATTCGTTTCACAGACTCAGCGCGAAGAATCACAATTGCAGCAAAAGCATCAGAAGTGGTTTGATGTTTTTGTTTAGGTGCTCATGAAACTGTCTTTATAGCCTAGTTGCACTGCCAGATGCTTGCATTTTTGCCTCTGGGCTTCAGAGCAGTTCGGTAGTTCACGACCACGCAGCACAGATGATCGCAAGAGGTAAATGCATGGGCTTCACTTGAAGCAGAGGTTCTGTGAAGATAATTGAGCGCTTCTTAAGAGAATACTCATTTTTGCCAGTGTATCTCCAATGTGTTTCCGTTCGGTTCTTTGTGGGTGAGCTAACTGGCTTTCTTGGCGCGTTGATTGGGCATGATGTAGCGCTTGAAAAATGTTCGGCAGATGCACGACGAAGAGGAGCACACCAGTCTTGGATTGTCGTGTTGGACTCGATCCCGTAAATGCAGGAAAATGGCAAATGCTACGAGCAGGAGCACTGGGATTCGCTTTTGGAGCTTTGCGAGGGCTATAGATTCTTTGCGGGGAAGTGGTTGCACTGATGTGGTATGCATCCTTCTGACCTTCCAGTCATCATGGGAAGAACCCAACTGCCAAGGAGAGCTGCATGCAGCAGAGCCACCACTTGAGAGAAGAGCCAAATCTTGGTCTCGATGTATCGCCTTTGCACAAGTTAAGCTTGGAGACCATGGCCAAATTCATGCCATTCACGAATCCAATGGTTTGCAATTGGCACCGCACACGACCATGTTGCTGACGTATGCTGACGGATTGTTTCCTGCGAGTTCGGGCACAAAACGCAAGACACTCTCACCGACAGCACAAGCACCAGTTTTGACAGAGCACCCAGCAGATGCACCTGAATTCCTTCACTGTGTGTAGTGTTGCGTGCCAGCCTGTTGGTTTAATATTCAGTATGCATCCAGTGGGCTTGGTAGCGTGCACAGCGACGTCAGAGTGATAAGGTCAATTACGGCTACTCATGTTCTTGGACACAAATACTGTGAGGCGGACAGAAATGTCGTTTGGGTGACACTCAGCATCACCAAGTTTCGAGAAACAAATTCACCAAGCGAGGCTGAAGAAATTCGACATATGTAGAAGGCGGGTGCCATGTCAGTCGGGCACATGGGAAAGTTTGCACACAAGCTTTGGCCAAAGCATTGGCTAATGAATGTCGAACCTCTTGCAAAGCAATTGTAAGCCATAGTGCCCTGCACTCTGTGGTAGTTCTATAGACAGCCTAGCATTGATCAAACACAGAGTCGAAGAGCAGATCATTGCTGGAACCAGCGCAGAAAGGATGCGTCTATCGTTGTACTTTGTATCGGGTTCATATGGATACAGGAGTTCGCCCAATCTTAGAACCTCCGAGCAATTAGGCAACAGTCAGGTAAGAAACGTGCCACCATGAGTAGATGTGCTTTGTGGCTCGAGAGAACATTTGATTTCGCAGAACAATGGCCTATTGCAACTGGAAAAAGCGACAAGGGCCCAGCAACATGCATGCATGCCAATGTATGCAAATGCAAGTACCCCCAGAGGCTTTGCGGGCTGTCAAGGGTCAGATGCCAGCCTCTCATCATGGAGGCACATGTGGCGGTGCCGCATTTGAGCGGATATTTATATATATATAATATGCAAGTGTGGACAAACTCGAAACGTCTATTCAGAAACAGTCTCCTAGATTAATCGCCGCAAAAGGATATTGGGAGATACTGGGAGTTGTGGCAAGTCTGTGTCCGGAAGGACTTAGGTGCCTTGTCAATTTTGTAGACAACTGTGTCACCTTGGTGGTGGGTGTTGAGTGTGGCGTTGCACTAGGAGGGTCTATTTAAAGGGCTACCGCGCCAAGTCCACAACAAAAACACCAAACCTATGCAAAAGGGAGAGGTTTTTCATGGTTTTTCCTTAGAGCAAATCTCCCTACTTGATGCTTAATGCCTTGACCTTTTGGAATCTCTTTGACTATATATATATAGATAATATATGTCTTATTTTTGTTGTGTAGCTGGCTGGGTGGACGGGTTGGGTTTGGTTGCCCCTTCAGCCGTGCCTTTTTTTGCCTTGAGTGATTGCAAGCAATCTGAGCAACCCGCCGTGAAAGCAATTCCCTGCATATTTAGCAGGCCCAACACAAAGTAGGTAAACTAACCGTAGAATCTGAAACTCTATGCCTCTAGGCTCCAGAATTCAGCAAAAGGGACACTCTAACAAACATGACTGCCGGAATGCTGCCCAAATGAGCTCTCCGGAAGAAAAAATCCTTTGGAGAGCTCATGTGGGGAGCTTTTGGCAATCAATATGTTGCTCTTCAATTTTGGGTCTCCCCTTTATTCAACTCAATTGCAGAACCGCGCATTTGTGGCTGGGGTAGCAAACGCCGCACCGATCCTTCAACTAACTCATTTTCATCCTGAGAGACAAGCTCCCAAGAACTAGCGTTTTGAAAGAAGTTGGGTGCCCGGGTAGGAAAGTTGTGAGCATTGTTTTGGGCTGCCCCATGCAGCATCAATAGGCAACAGCTGCGCCGTGTGGCAGCGGCAGCACCATTGTATGATCGCTGTTTGTTAGGCATGATCGAGGGCGATTTGAGTGATACGGCAGGTTCATGTAGAAGTGCGATGTTCCTTCTACATTAAGGAAAGGGAGGGAGAGGAACCTTTTGCTTGCTAGGATGAAGGATGAAGGTTTGTATGTGCGACTAGTAACAAGAAGCTACCAGTAGCGATGCACATGTTAGTAGTCTACTGTTTGTTGTTCATCCTTTGCTACCCGGTACTCAGGAGCGGCAGGCGTCCAAGTCCATCGGGGGCAGCCTGAGAAGCCTTTGGTCCTGTGGGTGTTGGCAGCCACAGACGAGGCTTCTTGGAGAAAAATGGCTCCATGTCGTGATGTTGACTTTGTTGCGGTCAATGGAAGTGAACAATGCTTAATCAATATCAATCAAAGTGTAGCCGTTTTCTCAGGTGGAGGGTGTGTTGGCGGCCACTGGCTACTTCCAAGATGTGCCTTGGTTACCATGCCTTCCAAATCAGGCGATGGAGCAGGTTGACGTGACCAATGTGCAGCTCTAAAGAATGCTAGATGACCATGCCCGTGCCCAAAGCACAAGCACCGTATCCACCCGAATTTGAACATTTGGATTGTGTACGTCTTCCGCTTTAGACGCATCCAGAAAAATCGCTTCCAACACGCTTCCAATTATTTCCGAGCACAATTCCAAGCATGGAGAAAGTAGGGACCATCAAGAGAGCCCGAGCCAGAGCATAGAGCATGGAGTCGGAGCCTCCACACGCGAGGCACATTTTGCTTGAATACATATCTCACAGGACCAGTGTGAGTCACTCGTCGTCATACAGCCGTCAGAGAGTAGCTGCGGGATCGCAATGTAGTCGGCAATGGGCAGTTGCACCTTCGCTTAACCACAAACAACTGGCCTACAGCTGCTCCCGGCTTGGAGATGGAGTACATAGTGTGGGCGAATAAAGCTTGGCCATTTTGAGCATGAGTGAGTGCAGAAGGACACAAAGCCTGTGTTCTTTTCATGAATGCATAAGACAATGGAATAAGAACCTGTGCTTGATACTTGAACTCATGCCGTCACTCTTCACTTAATAAGGTCTCCTGGCTAAACCGTGCTCCCACAGAAGTGCTACTTCTCGGGACCAACTTGCGGCAGCGCGAATATGCTGGAGATGGACGATGCTCAGTCCGAACAACAAGTTATGATCGCGCCCAGGCCCGGCTGGAGAGCGCAATCCCACGTTCGTCCAGTCTTTATCTTCGGAACTGGTCGTTGAATTGGTGGTTCTCCAGCATTGCCATGGACTAACCGACTATCATGATTGTGTTGTAGAAGGACTTGCTGTGACTTAAAGCACCCCAGGACGTGCCCTTGCCACACTTGGCCTGCATCTTCATGCCGGACAGACATGATGTGGCCTTTGAGCCAGGTCCGGCTCTGAGTTCAACAACCTGTGCACTTATGTTGTAATGAAGAGCCATAAAGAATGGAAAAGGAAAAGGCAAGATTCAAAAACATGTTGCTCCATCTTCCTAGAAAGGCATTCCAGACGGACTTGCAACATTCTTCGCAACTCAGGAGATGGTATTTTGGAAGGCCGTGGCCCAATACCCCGTGAAGCTCTTGCACTTCTGGTCAACATTCCGATTGTGGTCTCCACGTGCTTCAAGCTGCCGACCAGACAGGGCTTGCAAATTTTCACTACAGAACATGGAATTCAGAGCTCACTTCCGTACTTACCGAATTCTCATCACAATTATTGCGGCCAAAAGTGCCAGTCAAACATGCTCCAGGAACCAGAGCAGAACCTTAAAAACAATCTTTCTGTTGCATATGGGCTAAGAACCTGCCCTAGTTCTTGAAGCTCATAATAGTTGGTCTGGATGAATTTGCTCCTAGATTGCGAATACACCCCTTTTCTATCTGCATTCTTCCAACTGCAGACTGCATATTCTGTGAGCTGGTGGTGAGTCTGTATCTGCCGTTCTCCAGGTATATACATGTTTTGAGCTAGCAACTGTGCTGAGCTTGGAGGAACTGCACAGTCTTTGGAGACTTTGGGTTCTTTGCTGCTTTTGCGGGAGACGCCCTGTCCCTTTTCTTCATCAGCTGGAGATGCATATGTGCAGTTCGCGGACAACAGCTGGTTTTTTGCCGTTCAAGGGCCAGATGCACTGGCGTTTGTTTTGAACCATGCTCCCTGGCTGTGGTGTTGTCACATGCGGAAAAACGAACCGTCTAAACTTGCCCACAACCTTTGGTTAGCACCGTCCCAGTGAAGCTGCTTTATGATGGGGAAGATCCCAGTTTTTGATCAGCAAGTGCGCCAACGAGCCCATGTGAAAGGGTCTACCTGTCCAAAATTCACTGTTGTGAGGACAACCGCCCACACCAGTGGTTCTCAGACAGTGAAAAACAAAGTCTGTATAAGTATATAATCACAGAGGGAATTACTGTAAAGCTTTATTTTTGGGACCCTGTTGCAAAAAATGCTTAGGATCCCCTTGAAATTGTCCGATTTTCCGGGTAGGCATGTTGTACAATGAACTATGCACCTGCAACCAGCTGATGCATGCCCCAAACATACACTTGCAACCAGTTAGTGCATATGATGCAATCATGGAAGATCTATTAGGCGGTAGAAACAGCGGACGTTGCCGAAGAAAATCGTGTTGTGTGGAAAAGTGCGAGTACGAACCACAACGAGCGAATTGAGTGGACACCAAAGTGTCCGCGACCGTGAACGCTTTTCAGCTGCATGAGCCCACCCTGCGGATGGGGTACCTTGGTAAGTGAACCTGACAGGTCCAGAACCTATTGCACAGTAGCGGTTCCGCTCGATCATCTGAGCAGCGGATTGGCGCTTCATAGTGCCAACAGGTGGCACTTCGTGAAGCCAGCAGCGGCCGTGTCAGGGGGCATCTGATACTTTCACACCTCCCCATGAGGCTTGCAGCCGTTCTCAAGAGGGAGAATAGGTGCTGTTTCTCACTGCGCAGCGAATCTCTCTATTGGATGTTCAAATCAATAGCCATGTATTCCGCACTGCGTGGGAACATCCAAGAAGGCAAAGGCAGTGATGTAGATCCTTCCCAAGGGGTGTTGAACAATGAGGTCGAAAACAAGGATCGTACCGACCTCAGCTGCGAGTTGGTGACAAAGGTCTTGCCCCGAACGTCCGGCTCGGTGGTGCGAAGCGCGCAGCAGCTGGAACCCTCCCCCTTCCCGCCGCCGCTACCAATGTAGAAACAGCGGATGTTGCCGAACGAGTGCGAACCACAACGAGCGAATTGAGTGGACACCGAAGTGTCCGTGGTAAGTGAACCTTGCAGGTCAAGAACCTATTGCACAGCGTGCAATCGACAAAAACATATAGACTGTTGAGAGGAGTTGCTTGTTTGCCTTCATGGATCTGGTGATGCCAGTGATGCAACAATGAAAAATACCGTCAGCATGATATGTGGAATCCATTTGTTTTCAATCGTCTCCCAGACACACCTGTTGATGCAGGGTATGCGTTTTCGTTCCCAAACAAACATTGGGTCCCAGCTAAAGCTCTATAGCGGTGATTGCGCCACTGACAGTGTAACGCCTCAGAACTTGTGGGCAGACTTTGGAAGGACATGATGTTACAAAAGTTGAGGTTGTTGGACCTCACTTTGTGAAGTTGTGACCAGACTAAGTTGCAAACTTGTCGGATGAGCAGTTGCACAGTACAATTTTGATTCGCTCGCCGTGGTAAACACGGGATATGTCAGTCAAACAGGCCAAGCGGAAACAAAACGACTTCGTTCGAGCCGTGTGATGCACAATTTAATTGAGGATTTTCAGATCCCTTTACCACCTCCCTTGCCAGAAGACCAGCGTTTGCCGGCCGTTTTTTGGGGCATACTTGACCTGAAATACGATAGCTGCTGGGCTGCATTCTACTATGGCTGTCTTTGGCCTTTGTCACCATGTGCACCACCCTGTGACATGGAGTCAAATGGCACGACTTTGCAGGTTCAAAGTCTGCTTTGGAGAGGGTGCGTGTGCTGGAAACTGGGGATGGCCGCATCTCCAAGTTCTCCGGCGATGGTGCAGCAATTCAAGACCTCATGCGAGCTAGGTACACCTCCAAGGACTGTTTGCAAGCACTCTTTTCGTTCAGAAATTTGTGTCCCAGTCCGCTGCAGGAGGGATCTTTGCTGCGCAAGTTTCATGTCATATCTGCCGACAAGAAACTAACTCACGATTTGATGGAGTTGGCTGGCTGCTTGGCTGGCTGCATGCATGTGCAAAACTTGAAAATACTGGTTCCTGGTACATGTCAGCGTTTGACTTAGGCTACACTCATGTTGTACCTGGCCAAGCATGTTACCCGCGGCAATATGATGCGCACTTAGCTGAACGAATTGAGTCCGACTTGGAGTTGGAGGAAGGTGACAAGGCACGGCTTTGGTTGAATTCAACTCAAGGGTGGGTGGACCCATGAACTAACTGAATTCATCAGGGCACAGAGTGGAGCATTCTTTGTCACATGGGCGGAGAATAATTCTGTAGAGGCGCAGATTTAATTTGGGCATGGTTCCACTGTTCCCACCCGTGCATATAAGAAATGTACAGAAATGCTCTTGAGCCAATGAACCGCAAGGTGGAACAGCTGTGGCACACCCCGACAGCTCGGAAGTGAGTCCCAAGATAAAACTGCTTTTCGATTGCAAATCCAAGCCGGGACTTCTCAACCGTTTTCTTTTCAATAAGGTTTTGCCTTGGCCTTCTATTGCTCTTTTGGCAGCCCGAGAGCTTTTCCTGTGGGCTAATTGTTCCCCCCTAGTGGCTGGTTGCTGGGGTCTGGTTTCCCCCGCTTGCACAGTAATGAGGAAAGGACACAGAAGCAGTCCTTAAAGAAATGCATGGGCAAAGCTGTAGTGCCCTTGAATTGAACACTCGAAGCAGGACAGAAAGGAAGTGGAAAGCGCACCACAAGGAAGGGTGGACACACCTAGAAGAGCGCCGTTAAGGAAGCATGTGACCTCTGGCAATCATGTTTGTGGACCCTTACCAAGTGTGCAAGTCAGGACTTAGGAGTAACATCGTCAGATAGGAAGTACACCGCTTGCCACAAAGTGGTCCACCAAGTGAATACCGCGGGCAGTGCGTCGGAAACAGTATGGATTAGAAGTTGCAGGCACGGCACGCCTCTAGAGCAAACGAAAAATTATAGTGATGGTAGTACAGCTGCACAACCAAAACACACCCTTGGCCATTTGACAAATTCGAGGGCAACTGAGCGGATCATCTCTTTTGGTTTGGCATGGGTCCCGGGTGGTATTCCTGAGCCCTGAACTGTGTTGAAAGCAGTTTGGCAGCGCAAACAGCGGTGAGCACACTGTCAGGTTGTCCTCAAGCTATGCAACCGGTCAAGAGCTGCGGGAGTTATCGTTGTTCCACTCGATGAATTGGATGAAGTCTTAGAAGAAGTCCTGGCGCCACCGCAGCCACACTGCACGCAGGTTGACATGTTTCTTGCTTCATGCAAAACTTCAGTGGTTTGCGATGAAAAAGTGGCTGTGGTGACTACTGAGGAAGATCCAAGATTGGCTAGAAGAGAAGCTGCGGCAGCTCCAGGAGGCGTCGCTCGTGACATAGATAATCGTTGGATCTTATTCTGAGAGGGGTAGGCCGTGAGGATTGGGGTCTTAGATTCAGGGTAAGTGCTCAGAAAAGCAGCCATGACCATTCTGCGTCAGCTGGACAGGTTCAGGCAGGAGACTTTGGCTTGGCTTGGGGCTGCTTCGAGGAGCAAAAGAGGCACTGGTGGTCTAATGACACTTGGTGGACCTTTAACAGTTCTTCCTCGAAGTGGCCTGTGTCTGTGACTTAGCCAAGGAAAGTCCCTGCTTTGTCGCAGAGCGCTGGTGTACATCAACGCCGCTTCTGAAAACAGGCCAAGGATCAAGTTGAAGGGGTCACGCTACAATTACAAGCTGCCTTAGCAACCCTCTTTAGAAGACGGGAATTCGAGAAGATGAGAACTGGAGCCCATGTGTAGTAGACTTGTGACCTCCATGCACAGTGTATTGATGTGTATTGTATCTGATGTGGCAGGAAAATTGTATGACGGGACGATGCGTGTTGGCTTTGTGGTGCTGCACAAGCGAGATTTGCTCCTGGCCAGAGGTTGATTGCTGTTTTCACTTTGTATGGATGTTGTTGCTTCAGGAATTCATGTGGCAGAGCAGGCCAATTTCAGAATCTTTCGATGCTTACATTGAGGCAAACCACTGCGGACAGTTTCCACAAGCCGGCTGACGGAGGCTGTCATCGGTGCGAAGCTGCCAGACGTTTGGTTTCCCTAAAAAATCTAGGAACCAAATCATCAGTGCGAGCGCTTCCTTGAAGAAGCGTGAACTATCCTGCGTCTTACCTAGAAGCTAACTTAGCCCAGTAGCTTACCTCGTTATTTAATTAAGTAGGCCCCTACTTAATTAAGTAGGGAGGGGGGAGCAGCTTTAAGAACAAAATCAATTTGTGCCAGGCGATGTGAGTGCACCAGCACCCGAAGACTTGGTGGTCCATTGGCTGGGTGGCTACTGGAAGCTGCCCAAGAGAGACATGGCCTCCACCGAACTACGAGAACGAGTTGTGAGCGCCGTGGCATCCTAGTAGCGTCCTTGCTCCTAGTAGCGATGCCCTTTGCTCCTAGTAGCTTCTTGCTCCTACAGCCAGGCTTCAAATCAAGCCAGGCTTCAATTACAATTTATCCTGGCTTGTGCCACCCCGGCCACCGGCGGGCCATGAATAGTCAAGCTACAGCTTATCCATGTTTGCTTTACAGAATGTTCCAGTCCTTTGGGTGTTTGGACTCACTTACAGACAGTTGAGTCCTGTCAAAGACAATGCTTTTGGCTGTGGTAGGGCCGACAGCGGTCTTTTTTGGTTCCTGGATTGGATTCGCCAGTATTGGTGTTTGCCCCAGCCACCAAGAAAGAGCCAGTGTGGTGGCGGTGGGGTGGCGGTTCGCTGCTATTGCTGCTAGTTTTGCTGCTATTGTTGACTGCTTTTGCTGCTGTTTTCGTCGGCCTGTTTGTGCCTCACCAGCCAGTGTGAGGGAGTATCCGAGTGCTCTCACAAGCCACAACGGTATGCACTTGCAGTGCGCCTCACAACATTCTGCGTGCTGCCAAAGAGCTGCATGCTAGAGACAGAGTTACAGTGAACTGAACCCATGAGCCCTCTCGCCCGCGGCCTGCCATGTTCCGGGTCCTTTATCAGTCCAGCCTTCTGCTCGGGACAGGTTGCTTTAACCATTCTAGATTGGTTCTCCGGTCTGCACACCTTTGGAGTCATGCCCGAGAGAGAAAGAGGGAGAGGTACTGGTTTATCCAAATGATGGACAACTTGAGCTAAGTGCAGCCTTGCACATATCATCGCGGTGCAGCGCAGCACGTGCGGATTCATGCTCACTTCATGCTTTGGGAAGGCTGCCATTGCCTGCTGGAAAGTTTCATCAACCTGGGTAAGCAACCAATTTGAGCGCATAGTGTTGGGTGGGGCTGTCCCAGTTTTCAATGAACTCAGCATGGCGCCAGTACTCTGGCTCTGGCCTCCATGGGAAAGAACAGGCCTTGGAGGCTGAGTCTGAGTCTGAGTTGTTGATTCTGCTGCTAGCTCTCCCGTCACTATGGTCATGGCAGCGTTTCCTTTGAGGCACACCTTGTAGTACACCATTCGGGCCTAATGTAGCCGAACCCACAAGTTTTGAAAGATAACCAGGGCACATGTCCAAAGATGCAATCTCAGGTGCTGCAAGAACGTCGGGCACCGCCCTGGTGCGATCATCAGTTTTAGCAGAGGTCTACTCGGCTCTTGGTGCTTTGCCAAATGCATTCAGTAATGTCATGGACCAAGTGCAGAGTTGGATTGTGTTACTTCAATGAGCACAGGTGATTCCGTGCAGCAGCTGTTTGGGGGAGTGGAGCCAACATCCAAGATGCTGGCTGATCACTACAGGGAGCAGCCCGAGCTGGCCGCGTACTTGACAGCCCGTGACTAGCTGCTGATGTTTCGAGTTGTTAAATTACAAAACCCTCAACAGCTACATCATCAAAAGGACATCCTGCTTTGTCAAGAAGAGTCCTGCATTTTGGTGCCCAGTGGATGTGATCATCGTTGTTGGCTATTGCTTGCATTGCCTTCACGTTTCGATCTGCCTGTTGCAATCTCCTGTGTTTCCTTCACCCCTCTCACTTTTAGCCTGTCAGTTGTCATTTGTTATCATTTTGCTCCTTGTGCATTGCTGTTTTTGATGGTTTCTGTATGGTTTGAGTTTGGTCCCTGGAACCTGTTTCCTGAAGAACCAGCCAAGGCCTTGCTGTGAGCAACCGCGAGCAAAGCAGAATGAAGAAAATGCTCTACGACGCACAAGTCCTTGCCAACAAAGTGGCAGAGAATCGTCACATGTCAAAGCTCTTGACATTGCAGTTGTGATGTTGTGATCCTGTCCGACCTACACAGTTGAAAGCTCGACACAACTTATATACATACTGTCGTGTAGTTTCATCGCAGACTTTGGTCAGTGTCAAAGTTGGTTCGCAAGGTGGGAGGCACTTTATTGAGCAGCTTGTCTGTGATAGATTCGGACAGATGCCCTGGGGCCAGTCAACATTTCAATTCTGTGGTCAGTGTTTGTGTGATGGGTTGCTTTGTCTTTTGTGTTGCACAAGGTTCCGCACCAACGGAGACAAGAAATACCTGCAATAAGTACAACATGTCGATGTCTGTTGCATTTGAAGTGGTCGTTTGATCAATTGAACTATCGCAGGTCGACCGAGCCACCACCAACGCAGGTCCTTCATTGTCAGATGTCACGGCATCCTTGAAGCCCGAAGTGATGCTCGAGATCGTTGGCTGTCTGCGAAGCGTCATTTCTTGAAGTCCCTGAAGTGCCCTGGCGTGACATGTGAAGATAAACGCATTGGACACAGAGGCATAAGTAATAGACAAGTTTTCCATATGAACAACAGAGTGGAGCAAATGTGGAGCAGGTGGGAGGCATGGTAGTCAGCACACTTACATTGCTGGCCAGCTGAAGCAGCTTCCTTTCTCTGGCCCAGGTATTTGGAGTCCAATGCAAACTCCTTGTATCTTCTTGGCATGGCAGCACTTGAGCTTGGGAAACCAGGAGATGCTGTGACTCTCATGAACAAGAGCTTGCTGCACGGCGGCATTCCTTTTCCTCTTCATCATCTCAAATGTGCAGAAACTGGCCTTTGCAGACCCCTGACCGGCCGCATTTCAGGTTTTTGGATCCCGACTTCAAAGCTCCGTATGTGAATTTGGGGGTTGCATATCTCAGACTCAAGCTGTTCGAAGAGGTGATACAAATCTCAGAAGCTTGTTTGGAAAGACACCCGTCGTCACCTCAATGCCAGCCGCATGGCAAGCATCTTTGGGCGCCTGTCATCTACATCAATGATTAATGATTACATAAAGGGAACATTCTTCACTGCACAATATCTGAACATCGCTGTGTGACTCGCGATATTTGTGCATTTCTGAAGGTACCACATTGGTGTGGCTTCTTGCCAGCTGGCTCTTCTCCTGGAAGCACGCAGTAGAGGTGGTGCTTTTCTATCCGCATCAGAAGAGCATTTGTACGATACTTCGCAAAAAAAGATATTTTGAACACCTTCTGCAATCCCGCTTTTCTCTTGCAGAAAGTTTCGATCCTAGGAGGAGTTGCGAAAGCGGGCTGCTCACTGCATTTCTTCAGCTCGAGACAGTGAAGAGGGTCAAAAGCGCAAGCCTGCTCCTGGCAGCTGCCGCATACCCGTTGCTTGTTGTATAATATAAGATGAGTCCCGATGTGGTCGTTTATTTCTTTTGTGGTGTTTGTGCTCAAGACATGATTAGTCTCAGGAAGCGCCATGGCTTGAGATTGACCACTTGATGCTGGAGGCTGCAGCTGTAAGCGGATTGAGGAGGCAGGGAGGCTACCCTCAGGACTGCAAAGCAACTTGCTGCAAGTGGAACTTGTGTATGTGGACAATTTGAGTCATACAAATTCCATTGCATTTCCCTTGGAACACTGTCGAATACCAGGACTCGCAACCTGGAATGCTTCGAGAAATATGCCTGCCTATAACGGCAGGTTGGAAAATGTTCGGATGGCGAACTTAAAATCTTAGAATAATAAGATGCTGTATATTCGGCAAATGAGAAATATAAGCGGCATTTACATAGCTAACGTTTTTTTTTTCAATAGCAATTTTTCAATAGCAATATTGCACAATTTCTCACGAGAGGTAGCCCTTCAGGGGATACCTTGAGTTTGTCTTGCGAAGCAAGTGTGGGCTCCTCCAGATCAAATAACTGATAGTTCAATTCAACCCGAGAGGTGGACTGTTAGGAACCATGCGACAAAGCCCTTTCAAACATAACAACAACACGACCAGAACAACAACAACAACAACAACAACAACAACAACAACAACAACAACAACAAGAACAACAACAACAACAACAACACGACCAGAACAACAAGAAGAAGAAGAAGACGAAGAAGAGCAAGAACAAGAAGAAGAACAAGAAACAGACAAACAACAAGAACAACGGTAACAACAACAACAAGATGACAAACAACAACAAGATGACAAACAACAACAAAAAACAAACACAAAGAAAAAACAAACAACAGCACACAACAACAAACAACAACAACAACAACCACCACCACCACCACCACGACGACGACGACGACGACAAGAACAACAACAACAACAACAACAACTACTACTACTACTACTACTACAACTACAACTACAACTACAACTACAACTTCTTTCTTTCTCACGCATTGAGGAGTACTCAGCGCTGCCACATCGTCATGCTTCAGACGACGGACTCGGTGCGAGTCATGGCCAACATCTTTCTTCACATGAGCGAAGGATCGTGTCGATCCAACAAAAGCTCAATCCTTCCATCAAATCGTCAATTTTTCAAAATTCCAAAATTTCCCATTCTCTCACTTCTCTCACCCGCCCCTGCTCAGCGGCAGCAGCAGCTTGAATTCGATCCTCCTCTTCCGAATCTAAGCTGCGGCCAGTGCTAGAGCCTGGGGTGACATGGTCATGATGGTCTCAACCACAGTGAGTGGGAGGAGCCAAAGAAGAACAACACGTTCCTGAGCAATAGCCGGCAAGGATGGGGTCCAAGTCGGCTTGCGATTGTCGTCACAATGCCACCATCCCTGAGGTGGCTGTTTGGAATCTCGGAGGTAGGCTTGGAAGTGACCTGACGTGCCACTTCCTAGGTGGATGACAATGCTTTGCACTCTGTGTCCAATCCAGATCGGATCTGCACTGCGGCTCCACACAAAGAATGGTGACTGGACATCCTCTTCGAAGAGCAGCCGATGGGTATTGCCTAAGTGCGGGGTGAGCATACAGTATCGTTTAACATGAAGAACCTTGGGGCCCGTCAGGTGGAGGAAGGCACTTTCATGGACAATGCGTGGACCCACGTGCCCAAGAGCACATCAAGCGAAATGCATGCTGAGTCCAGTTCCTCTACGCGTTCCAACCAAATGGGCAGTTCTTTTGATCCAGCATCTTCGATATGGATTTTACCATCACAGCTAAAGTGCGTCGCTCCCATTGCATTGAAGTCAAATCCGAGCCCAGCCAACAAAGAAGTTCTCGGGTGAATTCAGCAACATCCCGTGGACGCCCTTCCTCAGGAAGTGAGGCCATGAGAGAGGCCAGTTCACAGCGCTGTGCCACATGAACCGGTTCAGCTGTTGATGCGGTCAAAAACGCGGACAATGCTCGAAGCCCCCGACCAAAGTCCGCCAAGCTAAATGCTGGCCGTGAAATGAGGCACCACAAGGCACTCCTAAGTCCTGCATTGAGCCAACAGTAGTGGAGGTCATTGTGAAAGGTCATCTGACCGGAACGTTGGAAGCTGTGGATTCGCAATCTCCCTGCCACCAGTAGCCATATGGAACTGTTCACCAGACTGCGGGCTTCGACCATGAGGGCGTCGTTGCGAGTCGAGAGTTGCAGCTTCCACGGAATCACGGTATTCGGTGCATTTTCGTCCACTTTGGTCGACTTGAGGGAGTGGAAACGGATCAGGTTGTTGGGCTCTTTGAAGGCCTGTTGAATCCTCTGCAGGCGTGCTCCCATGTCCTGAGGGGAGGTGCTCGGCTCGGTGGAGATCTCGGTCTTCTTGAGCTTGGGGTTCCATCGCAGGAATGGAAAGCTGCCATCCTTCAGTACTACCCCGGTCTCCAGGGACTGCTGCATGAAGTTGCAATCTGTCGTGAGCTGCTTGCAGAAGGTCTCGAAGCGTTTGATCAGTAGGTCCATGAGAGCCTGAGCCAGGTGAAGACGGAGAGCCTGGGTGGGAGATTCCATGTCTTTCCATTCTCGGGCTTGTTGAACAAGGCGTGGAAGAGCTCCTCTTGGACCCGAGTTCAGGTACATCACAAAGCTGTCCTGACTGGCTGTGGCATTGAGTGAGTCCTCCCTCGTGTCTCAGAAGAAGAGCGGCCATGGTGCGACAGAGGCTGTTCATGTTCGGACTGCTGTCTTGAGTGGAAGAAGTTTGTGATCCGCTCCCCCGAGGGTGATGGTTGTCCTTTCGTCGTTTTGCTCGATGGTCCTCCTGTTGAGCCGCCATGGGTTCGAGCATGTTTAGAAAGGCGTCCTCCATCTGTTGCATCTTGTCCCCTTCGGTGACTGCGACGGAGTCCACGGGCTACGTCAGGCCGAGTTTGGAGGAGAGCAAGGCCCAAGTTGAGACGATCCAGACTGTTTCATCGTGCAAGTTGTACGGCTCAGTCAAAGTACACATGGGGCATGGAAGTGTCCAATCAAGATGAGCCTTTGCATTTTCTCCCATGATTTGTGTCAAATTTTAATATTAGCAATTCAAGCAGTAATTGGGAGAATGTATCGAAATACAAATAAATGGAGTGCTTGAGCAGGTTGGGCAACATAGCGTATTGAAGCCGGTGAGCAGTGGTTATATGGTGCCAGAGCTTGTCAGGTCTATCGCTATACTTGCAAATGGAGCAATGCTGACTGAGGCCTGTACAAGTACTCGGTGTCGTCCAGACCAGGTGAAGGCCACCATTGATCATCTGCGGTGGCAGCCACGGTGCCTCGGAGTACAGCAGGGGATTCAGTTGTGTCAAGCGGGAGACCACGGATTCAGAGATCGTCCATGGCAAAATCAGAGCCCATTTCCGTGGATTGAGGTGGTGAACCAGCATCCCAATCTGTCGCCAGGCCATACATTTGTGTCCCTTAGGCTGCCGCTCGCGAGAGGGATTGCGTATGCAAGCGGGACCAAACTCCTCAATCAATGCAACCATTGTGTCAGCGGCTCGATAATGAATGCCATGTTGAGACTGCAAGTGTCTGGTAAGGTCGGCAGCTCTGGTGTGGGATTGCCCACACATACTGTAGCATAGAGTCATGCGGAGTTTGATGTTATCATCCATCTCCGGAATAATCGTGAGGGCCTGACCGGTTCGTAGCGCTTCCATGTACTGTGCATCTTGCCGAAGTGTCCCAGCCTGATCAGCCAGCGGATCATGGCAACGACAGGAGTGCCGGTTGATATGACGCTGAAGTTCCCAAGTTTCGCAGAACTGACTCTTGCAATGATTGCGCGTGGGTTGACCAAGTACAGAGTCCCGGACACAATGGTACTGTGGATGTTTAGCGCGGAGATGTGCGTGAAGTTCATCAAGTTGCATGAATGATTCAGCACAAATTGCACATACATGTAAGGGAAAATCACGACATGTGGGAGGGTGTGCCCAAATCTGATTCACATCCTCTGAAGGTGGCAAGCAACGTGCCTCCGTGTCGGGCAGAAGAGATGCTTGCGTGGCCGCCAAATGGATCTCTGCATGGAGAAGAGCCAATTGCAGGAGCACCTTGCATTGGTGGCCGGTGACAAACTGAACCTGACAATACATACATGGGGATTGAAGTGCATCTTTCCAATGCTGGTAGTGTCCCATTGCAAGGAGAGCCAGTTCTTGATGATCTAACTGTATGTGTTGAAGGGCATCTTGAATGCATCCATGTCGTTTTCCACATATACCACAGTGACACAGCAAGAATCCTGTCCAGTCCGGGTGTGCAAGAGTAGCGTTGAGATCACCAGCCTGTAGCGAGGGCCTGAGACCTTCACGAAGAGCTCGAAGATCATCGGTCATGGCCTGAGTGAAACCGAATGAGACACATTTGTTGTATTGAATGTGACGTTGCAGTGCAGTCCAAGCAGGAAACTGATGGAGGCAGTGACGACATGTGGGTCGTCCTTCAAGGCTATCACGGTCGTACCTGAAGGCATGAACCTGAACATCTTGGATCTGATGATGATGATGATGTGACATGTGTTTACTTAACGAAGCTGCACTAGAGAATTGGAGAGCGCAGAGCTGACACTGGAATCCGGGCTCAGTCCGAGCAAGATCGGTGGGCTCTCCTTGCATGTGGGCATTGAGTTGCTGCAGGAGAGTACGAGTACCACTCAAGTCACACTTCTGAATAAAATCATTTGCAGGCAAACACATCTTCCGTTTCTGAAGTCCTTGAAGAAGGCGAAGGCAGCCCTTGTGCATGAAAACCGCGGGCGGGTCAAGGTCAAGCTGTGAAAAGAACTGCTTGTTGGAAGTGTGTGTTTCATATGAGTGACTATGAAAAAGCATGCGGATCATGGTGGTCTGAGCCTGCAGCAGCTTCTTGAGCCCGGTCTGAGTAGAGCCCACTGACCAAATGCCATAACACATGGTGCTTCGGATGATGCTTTGCCACAGTTGAAGTTTCTGACGGGCAGCAAGGCCTTTCCTCTTGGAGTACAGCCACATGTACAGGGGTTTGTTCGCCCGTCGTGCAATCGCCAAGCGGTGGTCCGTCGTTCGTTGCTCAAAGCATTTGTAAGACAATCGAACTCCCAAATACGGAATGTCTGAAACAGTGCGCAACGAGGTGACCGCACCATTTGCCCGTGGTAGTTGAAGAAACTACCCATCAGCTCGAAACTTGAACAACCTCGTCTGGATCCTCTTTGCATGTTTTCCTGTAAGGCTGTAAACAACAGTTGTCTTACTCACATTGATGGTGAGCGCAAGAGCTTCCAACAAATCGAAAAGGATTCCGCAATGCTTCAGGTGCAAGTGGAGCTCATCTTCT